GTCCCAGCCCAGCTCCCCTGGCCGGGACACTCTGCCCTCTAGCGGGTTCCAGCTGTAACCGCAGGCCTGGGCTGCTTGAGACACCAGAGAACTGAGGGGTCCTCAGCCTGCTGCCTGCCGCTTGGTGGGACAGGGCCAGCCTGAAGAGGGTCACAGGACTCAGAGCCACTCATTTCTCTCCTCAGGCATTCAGACTCCAAGAGTCATGGAGTAGCTGGGACATCTGTCACTATAAGGAGCTTAGAGAGCTTTGTGAGTCCCAAGAGATGTTTAGGGTTTGTAATAATAGTAATAAGAAGAAAACCTCTCTGTATTACTCTATTCCACTTACCTGGTGAGAGCAGCCCAGTTGTTAAGCTTTGGCCAAGTGACAGGGAGCGGACTTGTTTGCAATGGGGAATCGGGGAGGGGAGCATTCGTGTCATTTTAGTGGCTGCCAAGAGGAGCATGGGCCTGGAGTGCTTGTGCGGGGCGGCCCACCTCTCTGTTACAGAGATATTGGGTCTAAACCAGCAGCCCTGAAGAGATGTTAAATATTAATTACACACAGATAAGAGCACCACCTGGTACTGTGTCACAGGGAAGGGAGGAGGAGACCTATCTGGGTTCAGAGGAAGGAGGACACTGTACAGTAAAGGGTCACATTGAGGCAACTGGACTTTGGTCCTGTTTCTCAGAAATGCTCAGACAGGGCTTTGGGACAGGAGGGTGACTGGGGTGCTTGCCCTTCAAGGTCCCCACAGGGGACGTCCCCTCCTTATGTCTCATCCTCCAGAATCCAAACCGGTGCGGAAAATTTCTTCTCTTGATGAGGACAAAAACTTGAGCTCCGACTGTGTCATGGCCTCCCTGGGGGCCCGTGGGTGAGTCCTTCTCCTCTCTGGGCCTCGGTTTCCTCATTGTAGGGGTCATCGGAGATGTGAATGATACCAAGGATGGGCCAGCACTCTGACACACAGAGGGCCCTTTCCTCAGGTGGGAGCGGGCAGGCCTTGGGGCTCCATGCGAAGAAGGTCCTCTGAAAATGCCACCGCCGCCCCCAAAACAGCTTCCACCTGTAACCTCGGGGAAAAGGGGCCACATCCTTTTCCTTGCTCCCTCCACCAGACAGTGCAGCTCCTCTGGCTTGGCCTGGAGCAATTCTGTGGAAATCAAGATAACCTGAACCCATGAGAAGATGCCCTGTCTGAAGCCAGCCTGAACTGGGACAGTGGGTCACCCTCCCTGTGCTGTCCTATTAAAACAAAAAAAATCACAACAGGAAAGAGCTACCATTTATTGGGCACCGCTCACGTGCCAGGCACTATGAAACGCTTTACAGACATGATGTCGTTTCATCCTCACCACCAGTCTGAGAGGTAGGTGTTCTGACCTCCCTTTGCAGATGAGAAAACTGAGGTTTTGAGCAGTGTTTCATTTGCTTGAAGTCATACAGCTGGTTGGTGGCGAGGCTGGAATGTGAACCCAGGTGGGCTAATCTCAAGGCTGGGTTTCCAAAGTTATGAAGTAAGTACTGTGTGTTGGTTGTGTCTCCTTCGGGGGCCCCATGGCCCCATGTTCCTTTCAAACCCTTCCAGGATCTGAAACTCCTGCCCACAGTAAAGGTCTATGTGTGTGTCTCCCTTCCTGGTAGACCTGCACTTCACTTGGGGTACAGCCTTCAGCAGAGGAATGAAGTCGAAATGGTGCAACTTCAGGCAGTAGTGCTGGCTGGGAGTGAGCCCCAGGCCGCACCCCTCCCTGGAGTCTTGCCATCGTGCTGCCTCTGGCCTTGGCAGAAGTGCGGGCTGTTCTGGTTCTGCCCAGCCTGCTATGAGGCATCCTTCTCCAGGTTTCTTTTCTCACCTGGGGAACCACAGGGGGAGGCGGAGACCTCACTCTCAGTTCAGTGATTAGGAAACTGGCCAAGAGTGGGCTGAGGAGAGGTAGGCTCCTGGAGACCTTCGTGTCTGGTGTATTAGGAGCGAGTCTCCGCGCATTAACTCACTGGACTCTGACTGGCCCGTCCTACCCTGCAGAACTCTGTGTGCACACACTCGTCTGCACATGCACATCTGCACGTGATGCACACACGTGACTCCCCTGGCTGGAGTTCTCATGCGGCCTTTTTGCTCCAACAGGAGCTCAGCCATGGCAGGGGCCCAGCATCGTCCTTCCTCTGCTTCTCTCCAAGGCACCCACCAGAGGCTGGGCTGTGTGTGCAGCATGGTTGGGTTGGGAGTCATAGCCGAGGATGTGAGGTCGGGGTGGGGACAGGGAGGAAGCCCAAGGCCAGCCCCTTTCTCTGCTCACGACTCCCACTGCACAGTCAGGGCCAGGCCTCTGAAGAGAGAGTCCAGTTCTGTGGGCTGCTCCTGGTCTGAGGCTCGAGGGGACGGGCTCTCGACCTCAGTCTCAGACACTGGACCCTCGTCCTTGGGACACACGAGAGACTCCAGCAGACCCCAGGGACTTGAAATCTGGTCTGTAGGGGAACATGGGAGGGGAGGAGTGTGTAGAGGGAGGGACACTGGTTGGCCCTCAATCTGGACAGAGGAGAGGAGAGGCAACTGGCCTTTTAGGTACCTTGGTGTTCCTGGCTCCCCTCTGGGTGGTACATTAGTGTCAGGTCCTCTCTCTGTTTCAACCACCAGATGCTGGTGGAAATATTTTGCTTCTTGGAGCTCCTCCATAGCCAAGGAGGCCACTCCCTGAAGAGAAAGGTCACATGCGATGCAGCTTCCAGCTGGTGCTTCTTCCTGGAGCTGACCTTTAAGCCTGTGGTGTTTGGGACTAGAGCGTGTCACAGGTGGGGAGTCTTTGCCAGAGCCTTCCATGCATATCCCATAGGAAAGAGGCCAGCTGTCCAGCGAGGCTTGAGGGTTGTAGGAAGGAGGCTGGACCTTGCAGGAGGCCTGTGGAGTGTAGGATGGGGGTTTAGCTTCGGGGGTGACTTGAGGTGTGTAGGATGGGGGCGTGACCTCAGGGGTAGCCTGAGGAGCATAGGATATCGGAGAGAGTGTCTGGTGAGACGGCATTCCAGGGAGCTGGAGGATGGAGATGTCTGGCTGCCCGATGTAGGTGATCTCAGACAGGCTGTGTCGCGATGGGGCTCCTCGGGGCTCCCTGGGCCCAGAGACCATGACCTGGGAGTACTGGACAGGCTGTGCCAGGCTGCTGGGGCTGCTGAGGTCTAAGGCGGGGATCAGGATGTGCTCCTGGATGAACTGCAGAGGCTGGAAGGTCAGTACATGCTGGATGTTCTGTGCAGGGACAACAATGGCCAACTGTTAGGGACCCGTTCTCAGTTCCCCGAGGGTGCCGTGGGTGGGTGAGGTCCTCCAGGCGGAGGCAGAAAGGATGGGCTAAGCCATCAGGGGCTTTATCAAGATGCATATGGCACACAGTCTCTTTGCCTCTCTGAACGCTGGGGCTTTCATGAAAGAGCAGGCTGCCAACTTGTAGTTGAAGGCCGCTCCTAACACATGGGTTATCTCAGGGAGAGAGATTGCGGCTTGGTTTCTCTAGGAGAACCAGATTTGGGGTCACTTTGGGGTATGCTCTGGAGGTGGTGGCCCACAATGCTCCTCACTCATGGGTCCCTAAGAGCCTGCTAGAGGGGGCAGGGGGAGAAAGGATGGGGGAGAAGGGGAGGCTGGGAGAGTTTTACAGGAAATGGCTCAACTGGGCTATGACATTGAGCTAAATGTCATATGGGCGAGCCCGTCAGATGGGCGAGAGCCACTTAGGAACTTTAGCAGACACAGTGCTGGTGGCCAAATTGGGGCTGCGATGTGACTCGTGTGGTTAACATAGGGCTTTACATTTAAAAGCTTAGTTGCCAACAGTTGAACATTGGGAGATGTCACATTATAAACTGAAATTCTGACTTCTCTTAAAAAAATGTGAAGATCTGGCACACTGGGCCTGCATTGCCAGAGGACAGTACCTGGCTGTCCTTGAGACAGAGCGTGAGCTCCGGGGTCCCCACAGTGCCTGCCCCTCTTGGGCCCTAGCAGCGGCCTGCTCTCTTGGATCCTGTGTTACCTGTCTGGATGTGGAAGCTTTCAAGCCTCGTGAATGTTCTACTCTAAGCCCACTCTTCCTGAGCACCTGCCTGCGCCTCTTCCATAATCCCTGATGGGTCATGTCTTTGTTGGCTTTAGGTTGGTGGGGAGAAATGAGGCCCTAATTTTCTGCATTGTATGTTGATCTCTGCATTTCAGGGAGAGCCTTGGACCTGTATCCGCTGCTGCTTTGGGGCCCTCCCCAGACCTCCCCCTCCTGACCACGTGTGGCTGCTTACCAGGGAGTTGGGAGGCGGAGGCGGCTTGGTGACATATCTGTAGCACAGGTAGCAGAGCCCTGCTACTAGGAAGCCCATGGAGAACAGGAAGGCGCCCGAGAAGGAGTAGGTCCACGTCCGGTCTGTATGAGCAAAGAGGCCAGAGCAAGTTGGGTGAGGCCGGCCTCTGGGCTGGGCCCATTCCGTTCGGATGCTGTAAACTCAGGGCTTTTCCTCCCCTGCCCTCTCAGGGCGAGGCTTGGGGACACTCTCCTACCCTGAATATTTGCAGGGCTGGGGCAAGAGCACAGAAAGAGGGCCACCCACCCCGTTTCTACATGTTCAGCATTTGTAAATTATGTTGTCACGCTGTTAAGTAAAATGGGTTCTATGCTCCTGCCTTGACAAATGTCCTTTCCACAGCAACCTGGAGGGCCAGATTTGAATTTTGAATTCTTGGACTCTTTGGGGGGACTATGATGAAATGTGGAGGTGCTGGGGAGACTGCCATAGGCCTCTAGCCCAACCAACTTTACCCCCTGCTGCCAGGGGCCTCACACACATGAATATGGATGCCCTAGCCCACATGGCCAAGCTCATCTGTGCCCCCTCAACAAATAGCTACCTATTGGCCACCCTTTAGGCCAAGGGTCTGCACATCAAGAGTGTCTCTCCTTGGTGGGAAGGACACAAGGAAGAGATCTGCCTCAACTGGACACAGGCTCAGGGCATCTCTACAGGGAATTTTGGGGTCATAGGTACTCAGAATGTGGTCTAGAAGGGAGGTCACAGGCTCCAGGGGGACTTGTCCACTTGGACCAAAGGACTCTTCATCCTGTGGGGAGGGCCATGGCAAGAGTAGGGCCAGAGTGGGGCCTTCTAAACTGGGTCCCTCCTGCCTGGGTCTGAGGACAGCCCTGACACCCTGGCAGGGGGCATGAAGTGACAACAATGGAGTTCTGTCCTCCCCACTTCCCCATCGGGGTAAAAGGCTGGGTGTCAAGGAAGAGCTCGCTCAGTAGGGGAGCTGGGCGGGGGCAACACCCTTTCTAAAAAAGAAAGAGAGGGACGATTGAGGGCTTAGTACCAAGCCTTCTCCCTACGGTGCTGCATCTTTGGGATGGGCACAGCCAGTTCTTGGCACGACACATTTCCTGTTACCAGCCCACGTGAGACTGGTGAAGGGTTTGGTAAGGAAGAGGTAGTTGGAATTTTTTTTGATTAAAACTGGTACTCTCTTATTCCTGGGTCTCGTGTGGCTTCAGCTTGGGAGCTGATCCTCAGCTGCCAATGACCTTGGCAATTGCTGTGAAGGCTGTGAATCGCTGGAGCCTCTGCTTCTAGCCCACTCCTCTCTCTTCCCCAAGGCCTGTTACTCAAGCCTCTCTTGGTCAACTTCTCACTTCAACGATACCTTGTCCCCTGTCACATGACACTCTTGGCACTGCTCTAGGGAGAAGACACCACCTGAATGTCTCTACTACGTGACATGCCTAATGGAAAACCACTGCTCCTTGTACCAGGATAGGATAGGAATGTGGAACATTCCCATATGCCATTTCACCTGAGGGGAGGCAGGAAGAAACACTAGAAATAACACTGGAGTATGGGGCGTTAGAGATCGGGCTCAGCCATGCTATGCTGAGCTCCTTCTCTCTGCTGCACGACCCTCTCACTTATTAATACCAGTTGCCGGTGATTATTCTTACAACTGGGTGGCGGTGCTCTACCTGTGTTAGAGCAGAGTGCCAGGGATGCTCCCTTCTTATAGATAATAAAGCTGGTTCTCAGGAAGGTTAAGTGCCTTGACCAAGGTCACACAGCTATTCAGCGGAGAAGCCAGGATTGACACATATCACTCGAAAGCTGATCCTCATAGCCACTACACAAAGATGCCTCCATTGCTTTACCTGTTAAAGGTGGATATGGGGTAAGATGACCCCTAGAACCCTTCCCAGCATTAAGATACTGGGATGTTACTCTGTGACCTTCCTAGATAGACTGAGAGGGAGATAAAGTGGAGATTCTGACAGACCCCAGAATATGGGGTCAAGCACAGGATATATCACTCTACAATAAAAGTAAGAGGATTAAATGTGCAGTAGAGGGGATTAGCTGTATGCAAAGCAGTGGTTAGAGCTTAGGCTTCAGGATCAGATGAACCGAACTAGGGTCACTTACCAGCTGTGTGGTCACCAGCAATTTGCTTAACCTCTATGAGCCAGAGTTACTCCTCTGTAAAATGGGGATGAGGCTACCTAACTTGCAGGACTGTCACAAAGATTAAGTGGGATGATATGGGTAAAGCATTTAACACAGTGCTCGGCAATAGAGTGAATACTTAATAAATAGTAGGAATTGTTATTAATATACTTTCTTTCTGAGGATAGGGCGCCTTCTATATGTCAGCAGGAAAGAGCCAACAAAAAGTGTGATTTATATAAAAGCAGCTCCGGTCTTAGAATAACATGGCATTATATCATGAGCTAGATCATGTAGGGACAAGCCAGCGAAGGATAAGGGTGGGTGGTCTGCATGTTGTCAAGAAGCAGGGCCAGGCAGGGCTGGGCCACAGGTGAGGTTTGTCTAGTTCGGTCCAGGGGAGCGAGTCGCGAATCGTCTCTATGCTCCCAGCTTAGCGCCTGTAACATCGGTTCCCTTATTCTAGTTCTCCTCTTGCCAAATTCCATTCTGGTCTCCCAGTGGAGCGGCCCTGTCTCTAGGAAGGCCATGCCCCGTGTAAGTGGCCAGTGCTGGCTGTTCCGCCAGGCATGTCGTCCCCTGAAAATAAATGCACTGGGACTCTGGTGAAGAACTCAGTCTCCTGCGGACTTTGGGGCCGCTGATGAGTTGGGTTTCTGAACAAAATTGAGGACCAGAACCTACTTGATGATGGTTCTACCAACCTGCAGTTATATCCTAGGGCTCAGCTTTGCAGCCACCTCACCTCTGGTCATTAGAACAGAAATCACCTACTGACATCATTAATCTAAACGAGATGACCAAGGTGGAGACTGGTTTTCCAAACCCATTCTACCCACTGCTATTACTTTCATCCTCCAAACTTGCCACTCTGAGCATTACAACATTTATGTTGATGAAAATAAACACTAATAAAAATGTCACAATGCTTACGATGAGAGTTGAGTGTCGATGCGCCAGAGGAAGAGAGCACGGGACACCACCCCACTGAGCTGATGGCTTCAAACTATTTCTACAGTAGCACAATGGTGAGAACGTGGTCTCTAGAGTTAGGCCTAGTTCTATGGCTCACCCCTGGTGTGACCTCGGGTAAGTTAACTTAGACACTCTGAACCTGTTTCCTCACTTGTAAAATGAAGATGATAATAGAACCTGCCTCATAGATTGCTCATGAGGATTGAGCTTAATAGTACCTGGTCCCTGATTAGCATTGCAGAAATGCTAGACGATATCACTGTTATTATTGTTTGACTTTGGAAGATATCGAGGGACCTTTTTATCTTCTCTGCTCTCCCACTGCGAATTATTTCCCTGTATATCTCACCTAGGTTAATATTAAGGTGAAATTGATTTAGCAGAGTACATACTAAGCTTGCCGGAGAGAGGAAATCCGGATGTAGGCTGGAGGCTGAAGATCAAACATATGCTGTAATAGCCCATCAGCTAACGCATTTATGGGTAAACAAAGATTGACTTTAATAATACAGTAATAACCCTTCCGTAGTTTTTCAGAGCACTGCCAAGCCTCACCTTGGTTATAAGGAGGAAAGCACACAGTCAAGACTTGAATTCAGGAGTGCCCCCACCCTCTTGCTTCAGCCAAACTTACCTGGCAATGTCCTCACTCGGCACATGTAGGGGGCACTCTCTTTGGACCAGGTGGGAACAAAAATTATGATGGTTCCAAGGAACTCGGTGTCAGGGGTCAGGCCAATAAACTCGTATTCTCTCTGCTTTCCTCCAAGGTGCTGAATTTGACAGAGAACCCACAGAGACTCCTCTTACACACCAGTCTCCATACGGAGTCCAAGCAAGGCTGCTCACGCCTCTGCCCGGGTTACTGCATTTAATTAAATGGTTCTGCCAGCTCCCCAAACCGGAAACTGGAGAGTCAGTCTGCTGTGCTCTACTCCCATTCCCCTGCCTTCTGCTTTATCCCCAAATCTAGTCAGTCACCAAACTCCATTTACTTTTACTTAGAACAATGTCGGCCACACAATAAGCACTCAATAAATACTAGCTGCTGTTAACACCACTGCCACCATTAACACCATCAAATCCGCCACCACCGTGACTACCATCACCGTCACCACCATCACCACCAGGATTACCACGGCCACCACCACTACCATCACCACCACCATCACCACCCATTTATCAGGAGGCTATAGCAGTCATGAACGTGTATGTGCCTCATAATAGAGTTTCAAATATGCACAGAATTAAAGGGGAAAAATGGACAAATCCACAGTCACAGCTGGAGATTATAACACTATCAGCAACTAAAAGAACAATAGACTTCCACCAAATCAGAAAAGACATAAAAGATCTAACTATTACCCTTAGCCACCTTTATCTAATTGATATACTCCACCAAACAACTTCAAGATACATGTTCTTTTCAAGTGCACATGGAACATTCAGCAAGATAGGCCATATACTGAGCCATAGAACAAATCTCCATTAATATATAATGACTGAAATCATACAAGAGTATTTCCCTGATCTCAAACTGAATTAAATTATAAATTAATAACAAAATATTCAGTAAACCCCCAAATATTTGCCAAAAAGTAATTGTGATAAGGACTCTCCTTGCTTGATATTCTTAAATTACTCTCCTTGACTATTGAAATAATGATTCCTTCATCCTCCATTCTAGACCTCTACAGCATATCCTCAGCCCGTCTTCTCGACTTTATCTTCCCATGATGGTTCCACCTATTTACCATTTGGTAGGTATGGTTGACGTAGAGGTCCAAGCGGTAGAATAGATCTTGGAAGATATCCTCCAGGGTCTGCTGGTGGCCATCCCCTGTGTAGAAGGGCGTGGAGGTGGGATGGACAATCATCTGGATGGATCTCACTTTGGGGATACAGGTCACATCAGGTGGTTTGATAGTAGCTGGAAAAAGGAAGAGAGAAAAAAGATTAGAAAAGATCGGAATCAGCCAGTAGTATCCGAGGCTGCCCTGGACCATAGGAAATGACTGTTTTCCTACTCCTCCCACTCCCACCCCAGTTATGCTTCTGAAAGCATCAGCTAAACAAACAGGCAAGAAGAGAGAAGTTCTGCAATCAACCAGTGTTTGGGTTTAAGGCCAGCCAAGGAGTGACCAAGGGTGAGTAGGAAGAGCCCAGGGAGAAGGGTCTTGGTCCCCTAGGTTGATCATGCCCTTGGCCCGGCCCCCACACATCCCAGTCCACCCATCCCCACCCTGAGTCTGCCTGAAGCACCCATCCCCCTAGTCTATTGGCAATGATAGCTTTGGGGACTGATGACGGTTCAACGACCTATCTTAAATAATGTTTGGGGCAATGGCCAGAACTAATAGTTTAACCTTTCTCCAGAAGGAACTTTCTAAATAACCAAATGACCTTTACTGGTTTCCAGACCCCTTTGGGAACTGGATGAATGCTATAACTCTTTTCTCCTCCAAAATGTACTTATATAAAAGTCTTGCCCTCAGTTTCAGGGGTTCATGAACCCTACACCCCCTGAAGCTAATTTATAAAAACCCTCAAGAGTCCATTGACTTCCAATATTAAAAACATCTGAGCTAGAAGAATGTTCACTTTAGAATTGTTTATAAAATTGAAAAGCTGAGTTAAATGTCTTCAAAGGTGAATTAGGGAAGTAAATTAGAGTACCTCTATAGAATGGATCATCTTTAGCCATGAAATATCATGTTGCAGAAAAATATTTAATGGGCATGAGCAAATGTTCATGATACCATTATATGAAAAATAAACAATGAAATTACAAGAGCATATACAGTTTCTAGTAACTGTAGTTATATTTAAGTGTTCTAATTATTTTGGGCTACTTTTATTATTATTTTGGGTTTTTCTATATTTTCCAAAATTTCTACAATAAACATATTAATTGAACAAGACAAGAAAAAAATAAATTGTTTAATTTAATTTTTTATTTTCTTAAGAAACCATGTGGCTGTTAAGTCAGTTAGTGAACATCATCACCTGCTTAACTTGTGTGGGGAGTTTGGCAATGCATATCATTCATTCATTCATTCATTATGCATTGAGCATCTCCTATGTGCCAGGCACTATGCTAAGGGCTGGGAATACAGTGGATTCCACGCTCACACACGCCCTCACCGAGCTCTTGTGTCAGTGGGGGAGGCTGATGGTATACAAGAAGCAAACACAATAATTGCAGATTGGGATATGAGCTATGAAGACACTGAACAGTTTACTGTGACAGGATGTCAGCAGGTGGTAACCTAATGAAATCAGGTTGAAGGCTGGGAGTGAGGATGCTCACTTAGGAGGTGATGTTGAATCTGACACCAGACTAGGATTGGAAAAGAGTAAAAAGGAGAGGTGGGGGGACAAGTGCAGAAGCCCTGGTTGTGGTCAAGAGAAGATGAAGGTGGTCCGATCTGGGGTGGTCGGGATGGAGATGAAGAAAGATGAACAACCGCACTGGGGATGTTCTCCAGTAGGGATGCCTTCCCTAAAAGCCACAATCCCAACAGCTCCCCGCTCAGCCCCCTGAGGCAGAGTCCTTCTGGGCCAGTCTCCTCACCTCCCCATAATAAGAGGGGCTCGCCTACTCACTGTGTTGCAGTGAGCTGAACCGGTCGGTCATCTTGGTGGCTGACCGACCTCCCGTGCTGATGGCGGTGACCCTAGCATAGTATTGTTCTGTGAGGTTGCTGGTCTCCATGGTCAGGTTGCAAGATTTCCGGGTGATCCGCTGGCAGCCCGTCTTCACCAGCCACTCGACCTCTCCGTACCTGTAGGCAAGGGAGGGGCCGGAGCACACCTTCAATGAGCAGGCCTGGCATCAGGCCTGTGGTTTATTAATAATGATAACAATATCGAATATTTACTTAGCACTTTCTGTGTCCCAGGCCTTTTATGTGGATGATCTGTTAGTCCTCACATTGATCCCGTGAGGTTCATATGTTATTCTCCCTCCTTTTCAAATAAGGAAGCTGAGGCTTAGGAGTAAAAATGCCTCTGGGGAGCCAGGATTTGAATCCAGCCAGTTCGAGTCCACATTCTGGGCTCATTGTCACCCTCGTCCTTTGAGGCAGGCACTGGTATCCCACTTTACAGATGAGAGAACTGAGGCTCAGAGAGAGGAAGTGACCTACCACAGGATGACGTGACAGGACCAGGAATGAAACCCAGGTTTGCAGACTCCTGAGCCCATGCCAGCCCTCCTCCCTGCGTGAGAATGGTAGCATGGGCCGGAGACAATGGGCACGGCCATTTGTTGACCCAATCTCACCAATGATAATAAAACAATTTTCTGCCAGGTACCAGTGCTACTGACTATCTTATTTAATACACCTAAGAACCCTGTGATGAAGGTACTATCGTTATCTTTATTTTATGGATGGGGAAACTGAGGCTTGGTGTGGTTACCCAATCGTCCAAGGTTATATAAGTGAGAGCTAGCATTTGAGCCTGGGCAGTTTGGTTCTAAAGCCCATACTTTTAACCATTATTTTATTCTTGCTCTGCAGAAGAAACATAAAGTAGCAGAGATATATTGGGGGGCGGGGTTTGCTGTGTAACACCAGTCCCGGTGAGGGGCATGGGGACGCATCGAAGGGGGGATTTTCTTGGAGGGATTGGTTTCAGAGCAGGTCAGAAGAGGTCGAATTGGGAGGGAAGCCTACGTCTTATACTCGACACTGTAGACTGTATCTGGGGTGCTCTCCGGTCCGCTGTCCCAAGTCAGGATGTTTTCGAAGTTGCTGGACTGGAATTTCACGTGCTGAAGAAGATCCGAGGTGTCCTCAGCAATGTGAGCTGCAGGAAGTGGGACCAGGGTAAGCAGATGAGTTTGTGGGCTCCATACCCCAGCCTTCTAACAAACTGCCCAAAGAGGGGGAGCGAGGACTAGCACCCACTCGCCAGAGGCTGCGCTCACTGACCATCACTGTTCACCTTCACTTAGTTTCTTCTTCATTGAGCTATAATTCACATTCCATAAAATTCGCTATTTTCAAGGGTGCAAGTCAGTGGTTTCTTAGTATATTCACAAAGTTATGCAACCATTGCCACTATCTAATTCCAGAACGTTCCATCACTCCCAAAAGAAGCCCTGCATCCATCAGCAGTCACTTACTATTCTTTCTCTCTCCCAGCCCTAGGCCACCACTAATTTGCTTTTTCTCTATGGATTTGCCTATTTGGACTTTTCATATAAATAGAGTTATATAATATGTGGTTTTTGTGTTTGGCTTCTTTCACTTAGTGTAATGTCATCGAGGTTCATCCATATTGCAGCATGAATCGGCACTTATTTTCTTTTTATGGCTGAATAATATTCCATCATATGGATATACCACATTTTGTTTATCCATTCATCAGTTGATGGACATTTGTGTTGTTTCCACATCGTGGTTATTGTGAATAACGCTGCTGTAAACATTTGAGTACAAATGTTCAAGTAGACATACGTTTTCCGTTCTCTTGGGTGTACAGCTAGGAGTGGAATAGCTGGGTCATGTGTTAGTTCTGTGTTTAAGTTTTCGAAGAACCACCAGCTGTTTTCCAAGGTGGCCGCACCATCTTGCATTCCCACCGACAATGTTTGAGTGGTCCGGTAATTCTACATCCTTGCCAACACTTGTTTTTGTCTCTCATTCACTTCTTAACACCATTCAAAGTTAGCGTCCTCACCCATGTTTCAGAGATAGTCAACTAAGATGTCTAAGAATTAACTCGTCCAGAGTCAAGTTATCAAGGATGGAGAAGATGTGAATTCCTGCCTCTCTGTTGGCTGAACCGACCCCTGCCCACCCACAATGTGCCTTGTTGGGAAGGCAAAGGCTCCATGTGTGGTCATATGGACTTCGCAGTGAGAAGGGATGCTGACTGAGGCCACATGTAGGCAGGGTGACCTTTCTGTTTAAGCAATCAGAACTTCAATTTCTTCGTCTCTAAAACAGGAATAATTTGACTTGCCTAAAAATGAACAACAATGACAGTAGCAGCAGCTGACCTTTGTGACATGCACATTAAATGCTGGGCACAGGGTTAAGCCTCTTACTTTATTAAATCCCCAAGATGACCTCATGAGGCGGTCATTACTATTATCCTCATTTTATGGATGAGAAAAACCAAGGCTCAGAGAGGGCTTGACTTATAGGACTCTTCTCTCGGCCCTCCGAGATTGGTCTATGGAAAGGAAGAGGGTACAGCAAAATGGTGGCAAGGGCCGGCACTGGCTCTGAGTGTGCTTGGAAGGGCTGGTGGGCTGGGCGGGAAATAAACAGGTGCAGATCCAGTTGAGTCGAGGCCTTAAGGCCTTGTGTGTGTATGTGTCTTTGATATGTATGTATGTATGTATGTATGTATGTATGTATGTATGTATGTATGTACCTGGATGTGCCCAAGGTATAAGGAAGCGGACGGTTATGTATTCCCCTACTCCAAGTCCACACACAGTACTTCCGTGAGAGAAGTCCATGGACTTGGGAACCTCCTGTAGGGATGGGGAGGAATTTTAGGACAGCCCGACTGACCCTGCTGTGTATCCACTGGCTAAATCTAAGGCCACACACTTCTCTAATCTGGGTTGGTCAGGCCTAGCAGTGGCAGAAATCTTTGTGTTCCAGAATTCCTGGAGACCTGGAAAGGGGTTTAGGGGATGGGGTGGGGGGCGGGGCAGGGAGCGGGTCAGTCTTACTGCCTCTAGACAATGTAATAGCTGTGCCACTGAGCCCTAAGGTGTGGCTGACATCTTGTTCGGATTCTGGGCAGAATTGAGAGCTGTTATTGAGGAAAGGGTCCTGGATTCAGGGCTGGGTCTTGAGGGGAGGGAGGGAGTCCACTTGAGGTTAGAACTGAATAGTGGCTTCTGGCGGGATGCTGGGGTCAAAGGCGAGATGGAGACTGGGATTTGAGGGAAGGCCAGGGTCTGTCTGGAGGTAGGCTTAGGCTTCCCTAGTGGGGGGTTAAGGTCTGCAGTGGGAAGGTCGCTGATTGGAGTTAGTACCCTGGTGGGCTATGCGGGTTGCGGGGAGGCTGGTGGCTGAGGCTGGAACATGCTCAGGAGGTGCTGGCCCAGACCGGGTGGAGGCTGGCACCACTTTTCGGGACGAACTGAAGTTGGCTTCCTGAAACGGGGTGGTGGATCTTGGCTGGCCTCCCTCTTTTAGGAGGTGTGAAGGGCTAACGAGTTCTCCCCTTTCTTCCCACCCCGCTCGTTTCTTTGCCTCCCCAGCATCTATTCCTCAGTCTGCGTCATTTCTGCACTTCCTGGGTGAAAGTCTACGTTGTAAAACCCTGGGAAGACAAGTGTTGTTGAGACTGATGGACTGGCAGACCTTATAGAAGAAAGTTTTCACAATTCCATGGAAAAACAATTCCCAGTTGGGAAGCTGAGGGAAAACAAACAAAAACAATTCGACAGGCTCTGGAATCAGCCTAAGAAAGCTGGGGTGAGGGAACCTGGGTCCCTTAAGTGACATTAACAGTCTCTGAAGGACTGTTTCCAGTGAGTCCTCCATCTTAAAGGGCCAGGAGCCTCCAAGACTCCCAAACGGAACGGACGAAGATCTAAAGGAACATGTCTTGGGGTCTCTTGGGGATGCACCATGTCTTCCTAGCTCATCACAGGTCTAGTGCGTTGGGCCCAGTGGGATGCCAGGGGGATGACAGACTGGAGGGGCCCAGGCAGCACATGGAAACACTGTAGATCCAGTCAGCCCTGGCCAGGGTCATTGGCAAGGGGACTGGGAAGCCTTGGCCCTTCATGGGCCCATCCTGCACTTGAACTAGAAGGGGCCATCTTCCCCTCTGCCGTCAGGACTATGCTGTCACTTCCAGAGAAAGTTCCCTGAATTTCATTAAACTTCTCGAGGCAGACGCAATCTAGGATCTCACGTGTTTGTCTGAAAGTTCTCCATAATGATCATCAAAACATCCATCTAATTTGATTTGAAAACTATGTCTTTTAGTCCTGTTTTTTAGTCCTATTTTAAGATCTAATAATGCGGCAGACTTGGCCACTATAGGAGAAAATGCTTTTTCATGTCTAGCAAGAGGTGCCCAAAGAGGCCCCCACAAGGTGTGGTGGGAGGCCATGGCCAGACTCAAGCTTCGGCCACCTGTCCCTTCTCTGTGTCCCCTTGTTAGGCCAGTGCTAGACAGAAGCAGGGGATTGAATGGTATAACTTCTATCAGAACGATTTGAGGGGTCAAAGAATGTCCTCCCTCAAGCCAATTCTCCACTCACTGGGGTGGGGGATCCAGCACCCCAGTTCCGACAGTTGGCTGCATCCCTGAGTCTTGAGGGTCAGTTGAGTCTCTGGAAGAACTCAGGGTCTGAGGGCCCTCATTCTCCCCAGTAACCTGAGCCACATGCACCTCTCCGGTCACTCAGCACCCAGCTCAGCCCTAGCAGAGAAGAAACTGAAACTGGCTGTCCTGGGCTGGGCGGAATGTAGGGCCATGATCCTGATCGCTGGCTTCTGCGGTGGGCGGGGACCACAGGGCAGTGGGTACTCACCGACCAGGGATCCCGCAGCCAGGATGGTCAGTAGCGTCCTCATCGGGCCGGGCACAAAGCCCTCTTTTGGCCTCCACTCTGGGCCGAGCACTGAGGGAGGGCTGGGAAGATATGCCGCCTTGGCAGCTGACTCCACCTGGGCTGGGGCTCGGGGCGGGGAAAGCCGGGGAGGGTGGGACCTGAGCAATGAGGAGCGGGTACAAAGGTGCCTGGCTTGGGTGCTTCAGAATTCCAGGTCCTGGGTGTTCCCTTCTAGTTGCAGAAAACAGCGACAGTGACAGGCCAGCTTGTTTATCTGGTCTGGTGGCTGATTCATCCCCAGACTCTTCGAGCTGAGAGGCAGAAAAGGCAATAAGAATCCACGATGTACAGCCTTATTAGAGAGCAATTGGGCACTGTGTATCAAAAGCCTGCCCCAGTAATTCCGTTCCTGGGGGTTTACCTGAGGAAAATAGCTGGACAAAGGAGCAGAACCTACATTCCAGAATGTTTCTTGTGGCAAAGGAAAAGCTAGGACTCCTCGGCTTTGCTCCAGCAGGAGGAGATAGATATAGGATGTCTGCTGCCCCTCCTGTGCCCCATAGCAAAGCAGGTCCCTCATGCTGGACGATGGGACGGGACCAGCTTTCCTCCTAGAGAGGTCGCTGGGGTGAGAAGCCCAGGCTCGCTTACCTTGAGCCTTTGAGGTCTGGAACCTGCTAAAGGCTAGGAAAAAACAAAACAAAAACAAAAAATGGATCTCAAATTGAACTTCAGGGACTCTTTCTACTGTGCTAAAGATAGGGGCAGAATTCATGAATGGGCCTTTAGCTTGGGACGATGGCTATCAAGCTGCTCAACCAAGCTGTCATTCTGCTCAGACAAACTTCCTCTTCTTTGAAGCCCATGCTACACGATGCTTGTGACAACTCTAGCCCACCACAGTCTCACAAAACAAAACAAAACAAAACAAAACAAAACAATACAAAGCAAAACAAAGCAAAACTTCTAGAGCTCTGGTCTGCTGCGCATTTGGCATGGTCTAATATTACTCTTCAGTTTAAGACTGGAAAGGAGAGACTCGAGTCGGGCAAGGTAAGACGAGAGGACCATGTTCAAATGTCAGAGGGGCTGCTGCGTGGAGAAAGGTCTAGTCCCGCTCTGTGAACCACCTCTAAACAGGACAACTTGGGGTGGGGGAAGCAAGGGGATATATTAAGGAGACAGACTTTTTCTTTTTCGATGTCAGTAAAATCTACTTTAGTCAAGGCACTGAGGAAGGGCCTGGTGTTTCTCCCTCTTATTCAGATTTCTCATAATGGTAAAACAGTGCTAAAAGTTTGGGACTGTGGCTTCTGTTGGGATGTTCTGAATTCAGATATACTATGTGCAAATGAAGATCATCTGTATTTAGTGAATTTAATTCATCCCTATTATCAAAGAACATATTGCTCCTGATGAAAAGTCCCACGACTGTTGATTCGTAAATTTCTAAATACATACAGTCCAGCTCTGTGCTCCAGTGGCCCCCTGTCACTCCCCCATCCTAGTAAGTATTGTATCATGTGATTTGCTTCCCCTTGTCGCCGACTATGGGGACAAAGCATGTAACTTGCTCCCCTCGACATCCCAGCGTCCACTGGAAGCTGGCACACAGCAGGTACATGGTATTATTTGCTGAATGAATGAGTGAACCAGGGTGAGCTGGCCAGGGCTTCAATACTGGCTGTGGAACATCCCTAAGCTATAGAAAAAGCAGATTCTAAAATGACAAATACTCAGGAATGTGACCTGCTCTTGTCCCTTCTTTCAACACTCAGGGATTCCAGAACCTGTTCTGTAGAAGCAAGAAAATTCAAAAGGCAGTGCGGCGTGCTTGGGGGCGGGGGCAGTGCTGAGCCATCTCAGGTTTGTGACGCAACAGTGAGAACCTGAAGGAGATCCTGATCATTCACGGAGGGAAGAGCAAGGAACGAAACTCCGGACACTTGCCCCAGAGCCTCTTCTTAGAGAAAAGCCTGAGAATCCGACGCACGTTAGAATCCCCAGACCCGTCCTGTGTCAGTCAGGGACATTGATTTAGATGTTCCAGATGGGGCGTCTGGGTCTTGACCTTAGCCTGCACCTGACTCCAGGTGGCCTTGGGTAAGTCTTGTCCCCTCTTTGGGCCTCAGTTTCTCTGTCTGTCAAGGAAGCTTGGTTTAGAAGGACTCTAAAGGAGCTTGGAACTTGAATGGCCTCTGCTTCTGTGTCACTTCGGGGTCGGAAACCTCCTCTGACATCTCAAAATTCCCTTTATGGCGAGCGTCAGAGACATAGCACAAATTCAGCTCAACAGTTACTGACTCTGCTTATAATTTCGGATCTCTCTCAGAGTAGAGTTCCTGAAGCTTATAACATACTTAGAAGACCACGCTTCTTCATAAAGACATTAAGGATACCTGGCGTCTCATGCCAGGATTGGGGAGCAGTTGCAGATGGCCTCTGGGAACCGGGAAGTGAACAGAATATGAGCTTTGGGCAGACAGTCCTGAGTTCAAATCCCAGCTCTGGCACTTGCCTGCAGTGTGCAGGCTGCTTAATTTCTCACCCTCATTTCTCTCATCCACAAAAGGGAAAAACAACAATCTCTACTCCTCGGAGTTGCTGGGAGGGTTAAACGAGCTGGTGTCTCCTGACAGCTTCTGAGGCGGAGATGATGCCTCCCGCAGTGTCTTCTCCGTTACAACGTGAGGACAAAGGACCAAGTGAAGTCCCTTGAAAACTTTGCAAAAACGCAGACTCCTGGATTGTAGGCATGGGGCTGGTGGGAGGGGTCCATGAGGACAGTGATAAATGCGTTAGTGTCTGAGGCCGAATTCCAGGCATGTGGGAGTTCGGGCATCCTACAGGTTAGGTGTCGAGGCTGAATCAGGGTTATTTAGAGTAGAGGCATCCCATGAAGGGATCCGGAGCTCAGAGATGGGAGTAGGGGTGAGATTCTGAGCCCCTGTTGGAATCTGGCTTCCAAGACGGTCCATTTAGTGTCCGGAGAAGCCATGGCTTATGGCAGGGTGAGATGCGCTGTGCAAGAACCGATGGGACTCGCCCTGGAGGCGTCGACACCTGGAGGGGGCCTCCCACCTCACTTTCTCCTCCTAACCCACTTAGAGAGACGGCGAGGGGGTAAAAAGACTCTTGATGATTTATAAAGATCTGTCACATCTCTATATCCTGTATAACCACACGCTGAGGGGTGGGGCTGGAATGGGTCCTGGTGCCAACTCATGGAACTGACTCACTCACTGAGATATAAAAGTAACTTCTGGACTGTTTTTTTTTATTTTTTTTAAATCTCTCAGCACATTTACACCACTCTGCGTACACAGGAATGAGCTCAAGGCAGATGTAAGCAAGCAGCCACTGATTGCACAGGAATAATTAGGGGATTAAGGTATTGTTTTGTCTCCCACTTCTGCCCCTCCCTCGACATTTCCCTCACTGAGCAGCACTAACCGCGCCACCTTGGACCAGAGGCTGGGTCGAGGAAGAGCAGTCATCCACATGCGACAGGAATTTGGGATCTGGGATGGTATCACCTAACGCAAGATCTCTGGCCGTCTTATAATTTCAGTAAGTCATATAAAAACGTTAGTCAGCCACGACCAGCCCCTACTGACTCCAATTTACACATCAATTCACTTTTTCATTTCTTCGCTCATTTATTTAATACCAGGCTTTCACCTGTGCTAGGTGTTGGTGCCAGGAGGAAGACTGTCCCTTCCCTAAAGGAGTTCTCAGGATGTGACCTCCATCACGCCAACCCCCTCCTCTCCCAGCTGCCCTGAACACTGTTCTTGTAAGAGCCTGTGCAATCCAGCAGCCTTGGCATCCCACCACTGTCTGGAGGTGGCTGCAAATAGGCCAAGAGAAGCTTAAGAGCTGACCTGGCATCAAAGGGCAGGTTGGGAGGCACCTGGAGAGGAAGTTCTAGGGGCAGATGCTCCAACCTGACCACAAGCTGCAATATGCACATAATGTGACTTGGCAAGGATATTTGGTTATAAGTATTGAAGGTCCTGGGTTTGGCATCTGCCCTGGCACCAGTAAATGGTGACAAATCTGCAAGAACAATGCTGGGCAGTTACCGGGTGGCCCTGACAGAATTGCTGGAAGCTGAGAGACCCTCCTCATTAGAGACCTACATAAATAGTTTGGGTTTGCAAGCCCAGGCAGAAAGGAGGTTCCGTAATCTTCCATGGACCATAGTTGCAATAGGGTGCGCTTTCAGGGTGGTGGGCACAGCTCCGGCCTCATGATAGTAGGCGGTGAATGTCCTACCCCCACCCCCTGGCGCTCACCTTTCTCCTGCACTCACTTTGATGGAGTCCAACTGCAAGTGTACCTGCAACTCTGCAGGAGGGAGCAGCCCTCTCCACAGGACCGATGGGAGTTGGTGGATAAATTCTCCAGTTCCTGTCCCTGGCAGAACAAATCTGGAGGGTCCAACCGTGAACTCCCAAAGCCCCTCAGCGGGACAGGGCCCCAGTTGCCTGGGGCTGTGACCTGTTTGATTTTGCATTTAGACTGGCTGCCTTTCCTCTCTCTGGCCTCCCACCTCCCCTACTAGTCTTTCTGGAATCACTGCCCTGCTTTGGAGTCCCAAATCCTGGTCTCTGGGTCAGCTACTGGGGACCCAACCCACAACTCCTGTGGTCCGCACAGCTGGATGAGTGGTGAGATGCCATTGAGAAATAAGAGCTCACACTTTTCCATTCATTTCTGCCCTTTTCTCTAAAAATAGAGCTCTTTATTTAAAACGATTTAGGGTAGAGACCAACAAGCATTAAGAAATCATTTAAATATGATATAAACATAGAATAAAATTAGAAATAAATACAAATATCTAAAAACAATGTATAACCTTCTCTGTACAGTTGACCTTTGAATGACAGGTTTGAACTGTGTGGGTCCATTTATATGTAGATTTTTTTCAATAATATACAGTTGGCCTTCTTACTCCTGGGTTTTGCATCTGCAAATTCAACCAGCCAGGGACTGAAATCGGTATTTTTGATCCATGGTTTGGAATCCTTGGATTCAGAGGGCTGACTGCATGCATTGATCTGCACCATTTTATACAAGGATCTTGAGCATGTGTGCATTTTGGTATCCATGGAGGGTCCTGGAACCATTCCCCCCTCGGATACTGAGGTATCACTGAAGTTTTTAGGGAGTCAAAAGTTAATGCAGATTTTTGACTGCACAGGGGATCAGCACTCTTAACCCCTACCCCCACCCTTACCCCTATTGTTTGAGTCAATTGTGCTCTGAAGAATTGTAATATTGCTTTAACCCAAGGCATCACATGTTCTTCGTGTTCTTCGTCTGATGTCCTTCCTTCAAGTGTGGACCTGCAGCTCATGCTATGCCGTTCCCGGGCTCTGTAAACAGTTAAGTGCTGAGCAAACCGACAAATGATTATATTGTTTATCATACTCTTTTCTAATGCTTCCCACAGGTTTTGAAATGACTGAATGACTACAAAGGAGCTGGAATTTAGAGTTAGTAAAATGCTCACCTTATTTCTGACATTAAACTTTGAAAAAAACAAAGCTTAAAAAAATAACAAGGTTTAAGAATAGAGATAAAGTGGTTCCTTCACACAAGCCTAAGAGCATAATGATGACAGCTTTTACTTTTTCTAAGTCATCTTCATGAAGCAGCTCAGCTGGGCTCTAGAAAGAACTTTGGCCTCGCCCAGTCCAAGGCTATCAGTTTCTTCTTCCTCCTCTGTGCTCAGTGACGTGCCCAAGCCTCCACCTCTGCAAAAACGCACACACATGTGCGTGTGCATATGCGTGTGAGCCCCAGCCATGAAGGCCTCCTGCCATTTTTGTGCCCCTTGGAAATCCTTGCTGGGGACCTTGGCACTTTGTTGACATGGCCAAGGGATCAGGGGTTGGCCTCGCTGGCCGGAGACTAAAGATCTCACCTTTAGGGGGATGTAACACAGTAAGTCAACATTTCAGCTTCTTCTGACAAATTCTTGGTCCCCATGGGTGGAAAGCTCAGCTCTGCTCATCCGTGTACTGGTGGGTGCAGGTTACCAAAGCCATTGTTTGGGAACCCCATCACTACCTCCAGGTAACAAGAGTCACCTGTTTCCAGAAGACACTGGTTTCTCATAACTGGAAGGAAAATATAAGACTTCTTTAGAACCACAAGAGTCAATCAAAGTGCTGTCTACAACAGGGATCACGGCCCGGGAGTTCAGCCCCCATGCTGGATTGCTACCCATAAGTCAGTCCCCCGGAAGGCGGAACCATTTGGTTCTATGTGGGAAAAGGGAGAGGGATGTCCTCTTTGGCTGGGTGCTGGCTTCTGAGAACTCAGTTTCCTGACCAAGAGGTGGAGACAGTGAGGGTGGAAGAAAGGAGGCAGACAGGAGGTGAGACAAGCTAAGAGATGAATGCTTCCAGGTGTTCTGAGTTTATGGGTCGCAGGTGGGAAATGCCCAACTGTGTCTTCAGAACCTGGGTGGATAGAGAATCCTACCAGCCACCGTGCAGAGTGCCGGGGATGTGCAGGCGCCGTGCCACACACCTCTCTGTCTCAGAGGCCTCCCCGCACCCCGGTGGGAGCTGCAGATGAGGAAACCCAGGTACAAAGAAGGTAAGCGGCTTACCCGAGGTCAGACAACCAGGAAGTGGTAGAGCTGGGATGTGGACACAGGTCTGTCTGACAGCAAAGCTCTGCAATTACGTGACTCGGAGCGTGGGATTTGGATAACAGCCGCCATTTTCCTTCCCCTCCAACACTCTCAGCCAACTAGATTTTTTTCTTCACTGGAGCCCTTCCTAGGGGACCCATGAACCAGGAGGCTGAGACTCAGCGGGGAGGGTGCTGAAGAAAGGCAGGAGACTCTGAGAGAGCTGTACCTCCAAGTTTCCTGCCCCCAGTCCAGATGGCCCCGTGTGGTGTCAGCTCTAGATGTCCACTGTGACTTGACAGCACCTGTTTCATGTTGTCAAGGGATGATTTTTCCATCTGGCCTTTCACCCAGGAACAGTGTGGTGATCTGACCTCAGCCCATCTTTTCTCTAGTCCTCTTGGAACCCAGCCCAAAGCTGGTGGGTCATAGGATGGGATGGCTTCTTATGGCTCAACCTGACTGACGAACAGCCACTAGCTGTAAGTATCTTCCGCTGCCCCAGAGAAGATGCTTCTAGGTTTTCAAGTCTCGGTGGCATCTTGGGTCCTTGGGAAGCTCAGTAGCACCAGATTCAGCGGGAAGGTGAGGGATGGCTCACCTGGCCATGTAACACCCCAGTGTCCTACCCTTGGCCTCAGTCCTCTGGAGGCAGTCAGCTGCCCAGCTGCTGGCACCACCGTCCTCAACTTCTGATTCCCTCTCATCCTCTTCTTCCTCCTCCTCCTCCTCGGGGCTGCTGTCCCAGCAAAAAGTCAGTGTGTGAAGAGAAACTGGGGGGTCTCCAGGGACCAGATTCAGGTTTGGTGACAAGGAACCCCAGGTAGCCCAGGAAGAGAGGTCATCTTTTAGGGGTTCATGCAGGGAACCCGAGTCCTCGGAGAATTTGGGGAGTAAGAGAGTCTCCTGACACCCATCCACATCCAGCCCTTGGCCTGGCCCCTTCTTGGCCAAATAGCCAGAAGACGCAGCCTCATCCCAGGGAGAGGAGCCCACAGAGCTGGTCCAGCTTCTGTATGAAGAGTCCCACGCAGAGGAGCCTTCGAGCCGAACCCCTGCCTCAGAGTGCCCCGGGGGCTCGTGCTCCTGCTTCAGGAAGCGGGAGTGTTCAATGTAGGGCTGGAAGCTGACGCTGTCATCTGTGTCCTCCTCGTCATCATCCTTGTCCTCCGCAGCACTGTCTTTCTCTGATCCTGCCGGGGTGGTAGCTGGGGCCCTGGCTCTAGGAGTCAGCTTGACCTTTCTGGTCATTTCCTTTTGGGGATAGAGGGTCAAGTCATTCAGGGGCTCTGGGCCGCTGGGTTGAAAGGTTGCTGGGGGATGTCTATGTCCAGAAAAGTCCTGATTAGGGGAGGGGAGGCAAGAACAGAAAGTTTAGGCTTTCCTGAAGCATGACTGTTCTAATTTGGGTTCCCCTGGAAACGGGCCCCGAGATAAGGATGCAAATGTAAATAGTTCTTTGGGACGAGATCCCAGGAAACACCAGCAAGGAAGTGGGCAAATGAGATGGGGGTTGGGAGAGCAGCCACGAAGCTGGGTCTCATCAGACATGTTACCGCTGAGGCAGCTAGAGTTTAACCCTGTGGGGGACTCGGGGAGCTGGTCCAGCACCTGCACCTCGGAGTGTCATCAGGTGAGTGGTGGAAGGGGTGGTGGCCATGCTACTTCCCTGGCACCTGCAGCTTGCTACGTGCACAGGAGAGTGGACACCAGAGGCCAGAGACGGCCCCTGGGATGCAGGTGCTGGCTGCTGGAAGTCGAGCTGGTGACTTCCCACGTAAACAGGGAAGGTGGAGGCTGACGCTCGGTTAGCGGGATTTCCCCACAGGTCCCAGAGCCAGGAGCTTTGAAAATGCTCCTTCCCACGTGGCAAGGACACTCAGAATCCATCCTCAGAGCCCCTACCTAGCCCGAGTGCCCACTGAGCCCCACCTATGGCTCAGCTTCCTTCCCAGGCCTTCATCTGAACAAGTCTGACCCACCTGGCCTCTCCAGCTTCCCCTGCCCCAGCCAGCCCCCAGCAGACAAGTGAAGAAATTCCAGGGTCGGCCTGGGCAAGGCTCCCCCTGGGTTAGATCGTGAACTAAGTATTGGGACTCTTCCTAGTCTCCCTTTTGGCACCAACTTCTTCCCCTCCCTTTCCGGGCATCCCTCCTGAGTCTCAAGGATGGGGCCTCTGCTCTGGGCACCTGCCAAGTTCTTAGCAGAGATAAAGTTATTTAACTAAAAGGGACCTCTCTCTCCCAGGTACATTTGCTATTTGAATTTTGTGCCAAAGGAATGGATTACTACTAAGAAGAATTTAGACACAAAGATAGAAGACATTTGGCAATTTGGGCCATCTTGATATTCTGTCTGAACTACCTCTAAGTCTAGCCCTACTTCCTTACTTTTCAACAACCCCTCCCCCTCGGATGCATACTCCCAGATTTGCCATACCAGGGCCTGTGGCTTCTTTGCCTGCTGAAACCAGGGGTTCCCTGTAAAGTTCTTCCAGAGCACGTGCCCCATGACAATAACCAACAGCAGTGGCAGCAGAAGTGGGAGCAGCACCAAAAATGCCCAGTTAACTCCTAAGAAAGGAAAAATAACAACAGTTATATAAAAAACAACAGTGGCTCTCATCTGTTAATTGCACATGTGCTGAGGGCTTCACATACATTATCCTATTTAATCCTCATAAACTCATGCTACAGATTGTGAAAATCAAGATTCTGAGAGGTTATATAAGCTGCCCAAAGATACGTAGTGAGTGTGGTGGAGCAGGGATTTTAACTGGAGTAAGACTGTCTCTAGACTCATGTTCTAAACCACTATATTACGAAGCTCCTGAGGCTCAGGGGAAAAGTCCCCATTTCTGTACCACTTTGTACCTACTTGGAGCCTCCAGGGAGAAGCAGGTGGGCTTGGAGAACTCGCTGTATTTAGTGTCACCGAAGGTGTAGATGGTTCTGGCACTGAGGCAGTGCTGTCCATTGGTGGCTGGCTGGAGCGGGATCTGGACTGGCTCGCCATGGGGAGTGACTGGAAATCGGGTCTGTTGGGAGAGAGAAGCAGAGGTGAGCAGACCTGCTGTGGGGACAGGCTCCGTACAGCCAGGACAGGTGAGGCTGATGGGCAAGATGCAGCGGCAATCCTGCACTGTCTTTTCCTGCGTTTAAGTTCAATGTTGAGAGAGCACTTCCCAACATTATCTGGTTTCTTTTCTGCTGAGTCTCGAGGTAGAGACGGTCTGGGTTGAAAAGCAGCCCTGTCACTCAGGGTCACTCTCCATCCATGGCCAGCTGGTCCTCACCTTGAGGGGCATATTCCTCAGGCTTCCTACCTTAAGGGCCTCCCGATTTATTTGGAGGACATCATTTAGCCATTACAGACTCCGAAAACTCTAAGGCCGCCTGTCCAATATAGTAGCCACTGACCACATGTGGCTACTGAGCACTTGAAGTGTGGTTGGTCCAAACTGAGATGGGCTCTAAATCTAAAGTACGCACCGTATTTCAAAGACTAAGTCAAAAAGAATGTAAAACATCTCAATAACTTTTATGTTAATTACACATTGAAATAACATTCTATGGGATGAAATAGAGAATATTATGAAAATTAAATTCACCTGTTTCTTTTAACTTAATTTAAGGCAGAACACTTAAAATTACATATGTGGCTCGCATTCTATTTCTGTTGGATAATGCTAGTTTAGAATATTTGTAAGATTCTGGAAGGCATGGACCACATCGGATGCAGATGTGCATCCTGGGATCCAGAAGACAAAGGAGGTCAGGAGTGTGAATACTGGTTCAGTGAAAGGAAGATTGGGTGAGGATGGGGTCAGTCAACCACAGCTGTGGGCAAATCTGGCCGCCATCTTTTTTTGTAAACAGTCGTACGTGAGGACAGCCATGCCTGTTCATTTATGTATTGTCTTTGGTTTCTTCTGTGTGACAGATGCAGAGTTGAGTAGCTGTGACAGACCAAGTGGTCTGCAAAGCCACAAATATTTACTATCTGGCCCTTTACCAGAAAAGCTCGCCAAACCTGCTATAGATAAATACATACAGACATACACACACACCCACAGAAAACACATCTGAGACTGGACAGACACCAAAGAGTTAGCTGTGGTCATCTCTGGTACTTTTGGTTTTCCTCTTAGAGCTGATCTGTATTTCTGTATTTTCTGAATTTTCTGTAATGAATCTAGGGGCTTGGCCAGCAGGCCACCTGTAGCCCATCATACATCAATCAGATTTTATTGTAAAGAAAAAAGTTTCATAATTTTAAAAAATATTAGGTAGAAAACCGCTGTGCTATTACCACTTGTAACATACAAGGGTGGGGGGTGCCCTGCATTTGCCTCTTAGAAGGGCAGGGGAAGACCACAGGCCAGTCGTACTGTGCAGAGTCAGATGTATGCCAAGAGCGAGTGATATGTGAGGAAGGCTTCCTGGAGGAGGTGTGGAGGGAGTAGGTTGGGAGGTTGAGGAGCACTGGGGTTTGGTGGGGCAGGCATGGGGCTTCTCACCTTGTTCATGGTCCCTTTCTTCCAGAAATCCACCTCGTACTTCAGATCCGCCGGGGGCATGCAGGGGGGCAGCTGATATGTGGCATTGATGCTCAAGATCTTCTCTGTCAGAGTGACTACGAGGATGGGTGGGGCCGGCTCCACTGGCAGAAACAGAGCAGGACCTGTCAGTACCCTCTGGGGGCCACAGTGTGTCCATCCCCTGCCTCCAGGCAGGCTTGCTCCTCACCTGGCTCAGGGAGCTCTCCTGGCAAGGGGAAAGCAGCACTAGCATCTGTCAAACACCTGTGCATCAGGAGCCCCCCAGCCATTTTTTTATAGCCCTGCAATGACCCTGGGAGGAGATAGCACTATCTCCATTTTAAAGAAAGGCAAACTGAGGCTTAGAGGGGTGAAATGGCCAGGCCAAGCTCACAGTTAATCTGCTTTTACTCATGTTGTCCCTTCCACTGGGTGCCCTTCACATATCACTGGTCTGCCAGAATCCTGCCCATGTCTGTTAGTTTTCTATGGCTGCTATAACACATTACCACAGACTCAGTGGCTTAAAATAACATAGATTTGTTATCTCATGGTTCTGTAGGTCAGAGTCCTATAGTCATATATAGCCTTTATTATGTAAAGAGCAGGGGACATTTACTACATACTAAGCCCTGGGCAGGGAGTGAAGGCGAATGGGGAGATGAGGCCTCCATAGACCGTGACCTCTAGGAGCCAAAAGAAATTAAGGGGAAATGTAATATGCAAACTACCAAAACTCAAGAAAGTGACCAGGGCCACAGTGGAAGGTAGAAAAAGGCAGGAAGGGTCCTTCAGGCTTGGGGTGTGCTGTGAGAAAATCAGGAGAGCTTCAGGAAAGAGGAGGCACAGAAATTAATTAAAAAGAAAAATAACCTCCTCTTTGCATCTTTCCTTCTATTCTAATCTCTCGTTCCTATCTATCCAACCATTGCAGTGGTTCACCCATCATTTTTCTGGCCAGACAACCTTTCTGCCTTCCCATCCTTTCTTTCCAACCATTCCTTCCCTCATATCCAACTTTTCTATTCATCCATCCTTCCCATCCATCCATTCTTCTTTTCTTTCTGTGTATCGTCTCTTCTTGTTTTTCTTTCTTTCATTCATTCGATCATCCCTCCCTTCCCTCTGGTCCTTCCATCCCTTCTCAGGCAGCCAGCCTTGCTTCTATACTCTCATCCCTGTGCCTTTCCTTCCTATCCTCCATCTATCCATCCATACATGCTTCCTTCCTAGTAAGCATCTGTCCTTCCATCTAGTCTCCGTACCTCCTACTTATCCATCGTGCCCTCTACCATCCTCTCCGTGCTTCCTTTCTTCTTACCTGTCCATCCTTTTCCTCCTTTTATCTCTCCACCCACGCAGCGTTCTCCCATGCAAGTCATCTCTTCTTTGTTCTCTGCCATCTTTCATTCAACCCCTTCCTTCCCTCCCTTCAAACCATACTTTGCTCTTAAATATTGTGAGAAGCCTGGGCAACACATTACAGATCTCAGCTCCACAAGGTTATTGTCTGACTATTGATCCTCTCTGTCTTCCCACCCTGCCTCATTCTTGATCTGGGCCAATGCCTTGTCCAAGATCAGAAAGATCCAGGTTCACGTCCTATCTCCACCACTTCCTAGCTGTGTATCCAGGCAAGTTACGTAACTTCTGCGAGTCTCGCTTTATTTATTTTTTAAAAATGGGTTAATGAAGATGAACTTCTCAGGTTTGTTGCAAGGATTAGAAATAAAATGTTTTTGGGGGAAAAAAGTGCTCTCTTCACTCAATGTTAACGCTGGTGATTTCTGAATTCACGAAGCATGGGAAATATTTCCCTCTCTATTTTGATCTTCTCTCCCCCCAAATTTCTATAGTGTTCAGAAATTACTTTTATAATCAGAATTTTCAAAAATTGTTTCTTAAAGAGAGAGGCTGAACATAAAAAAAAGAATAAGTATAGAAAGTGACTTGCATAGTGTGTGACCAAAGTCGTGCTCGATAGAAGATGATGAACATTAGAGTAGGAGGTACGAGCTGAATGGCTGGTGCCAGTAACACGTCCATAACTCCCTGCCACTGAGTCAGGCTTCCTGGACACGGGCCAGGGCCCATGGTGGGCTGCCTCGCAGAGCTGCCTCTGCTTTGGGGAAGGGGGAGATGGATGGCTAAGGCGGCAGTGCCGCTGAGCCAAGTTCTTGGACAGAGAGCCTCCCGCTCAGTCCCTTACCCATAGACCTACCTTGAAAAAGGTACTCCAGGTACTCCGACTCCACCCAGGGGGACCTGGCGCTGGGAGAAACCGCCCGCACTCGTCCCTTGAACTTGTTGTAGAGGTCCTGTTTCTCCAGGCACATCAGAGAACATGACAGCTCTTTGGTTTTTCCCTTTGTCCCACGGCTTGGAGGTGGGGGGCCGAGGGAAAAGACAGGACAGCTTGGGTCATGGACTCAGCCTCTTGGGGCAAGGGAACTTTGAGAACATGTGATCATTCTTCCCTCCATTCTGCCTGATCCATCTATCTGTCCATCCACCCATCTGTCCTCCATCTGTCTATCTTTCCAAGCAGCAAGACTTTGGCGGAAACAGAATGAGAACAGTCCGGTTAGAAGCTCAGGCTCTGGAAAGACTGATGTGGGTGGGAATCCTGGCTCTGCCCCTCACGAGCTCTGGGACCCTATGCAGGTCACTATCCTTGAGGCTCAGTTTCCTCATCTGTCATGCCTCTCTCACAGGACCATCATGGTAGTTGATAGTACTAGTAACCATTTTCCCCATGTTTATTCATTCAGGCATTTATGGACCACCCACTGTGTGCCAGGCACCATGCTGGGTGCTGTGTGGGTGTCAGAGGGGAACATACAGGTCCATGACTTCAACCTCCTGAGAACACTGAGGTCCACAGAAGGAACCTGAGCTCTGGGCATTATTCTTGGGGAATTGGCATCGCATGACAGACGAGGTCCTCGGGAGCTTACACTCTGGTGGGAGGGCACGAGGAACAATCATCACATCAACAAGATAAATCCAAGAGCTTGTCAGTGCAGTAGTAATAGTCAGTGATATGTGAGTGACGGCTTTCCAAAGGCAGATCAGGAAAGGCCAGGAAGATAGATTTGAAGCTGAGGACACAATGACAAGAAGGGAGCGAGGTGAAAGCTTGGGGGAAGGAACAGCAAAAGCAAAGCCCTGTGATGGGAAGGAGCTTGACCTGTCCAGACAGAAGCAAGGAGGCCAGTGTGGCTGAAGCCCAGTGGTCGAGGGAGGGAGAGGTGTGGACAAATGAGATGAAGACTGAGAGGGCAGAGCGGGTGGGGCCTCGTCGTCTCGGTAAGGAGTTTGGATTTTACTCCTCGTGTGACAGGAAGCCACTGGAAGGTTCTGAATAGGGTACTGATGTAATTTATATTTTTAAAAGATCACTGACCAACCAGCTAGGAGGCTGCAGCAGTGATCCAAGAGAGAATGGTGGTAGATTTGGTGAGGAGGGGTTGAATTTGGGATATAGTTTGGAGCAAAAATACACAAACTATAGGAAGAAACAGAAAAGCCACAATTATAAGGAAAAAATTTTAACACAACTCACTCAGTAACTGACAATTGAACAAAGAAAAAAATCAGTAAATATGTTTAAAAAATGAACAACATACTTATCAAAGTTGGCCTAATGAACATGTATAGAACAAACTGAACAAACTGGTTAAGCCACACATGAACATTAATAACATATTTAAAATATTAACAAGTATTAACAAAAATAAAGCAACTCTCAAGATATTTCAGAGAGTAGGTATCTCATCGACTGTTTCCTCTGATTGCAAAAAAATAAAGTTAAAAATCACTAATGAAAAGAGAACTAAAGAAAGGTTGAAAACATTTTAAATGTTTTAAAATAACTCATGGATTAGAGAAAGAATTATAATAGAATTAGTAAATATTTAAAAACTGAATGATTAAAAAAACAATATAAATAAAAATTTATGATACAGCTAAATAATACATAGAGAGTAACATGTAGCTTTAAATACTTATAACTACTTTAAAATAAGAAAGCATAGAAATTTAAATACTTTAAAATAAGAAAGCATAGAAATTAATAAGCTAATAAGCGATCAATTGAAGAAATCAGAAAATGCATGCAAAAAAATCCACACAAGAACAGATCAAAACTGTAACCTACTTTTTCAGAATGTTCTAAAAGACATTAAAAAATGATACAACATTGCGTTGTATTATTTTAATAACATAAAATAGAATTAGATGCTCAGAAAGGAGATAAAAATACAGGAAGGAATCAGATTAAAAAAAAAAAAAACTTATTTCAGAAGTAAAGAATAAATTAGAACACCAGAGCAAATTAATATAACAGATAATGCCATAGAAACAGAAAGTGAAAAGAAGGAAAGTATTAAAAATAAAAAAGAACAAAAAAGGAAATGCTAAAATTATAAACCTTGTAGAAGAAAACATAGAAGAGTATATTCATGACCATGAGTCAGGCAACTATTTCTTAGGACACCAAAGGCCTTTACCACTGAAGAAAAGAAACCTGATGAGTTAGTTCACTCAGGCTACCATAACAAAAATATCGGACTAGGTCGCCTAAACAACAGAAATTTATTTCTCACAGTTCTGGAAGCTGGAAGTCCAAGATCAAGGTGTCTGCCAATTTGCTTTCTCCTGAAGCCTCTCTTCTTGACTTGCAGATGGCCACCTTCCTTCTCTCTGTGTCCTCACTACCTTTTTGCTGTGTGTGATCAAACCTGGTATCCCTCCCCCTTCTTAAAAAGATACTACAGTCCTATTGGATTAGGGTCCCACCCTGTGATCTCATTTAACATTAATTACCTCTTTAAAGGCCCTAACTCCAAATACAGTCACATAGGGGTTAGGGCTTCAATATACAAATATTTATATATTGGGGCATGGGGAGGGACACGATTCAGTCCATAACAGGGCTATTATGAATTAAGCTGCTACGAACATTCCTGTATATGTCTGTATGGACATGTTTTCATTTCTCTTAGATAAAGATCTAGGAGTAGAATCTGGGAGATTTGGTAACTTGAATGTGTAATTACAAGAAACTGTCAAGCTGGTTTTCCAAAGTGACTGTACCATTGTACATTTCCACCAACAATGTGTGAGAGTTCTTGTTACTCTGTGTGCTTGTCAGAACTTATTATCGTCGGTCTTTTAATTTAACCATTCTAGTGAGTATGTAGTAGTATCTCACTGTAGTTTTAATTTACATTTCTCTAATGACTAATGATGCAGAACATCTTATGTGCTTATCGGTCATTCGTATATTACCTTTTGCGAAGTGACTATTCAAATATTTTTGGGTGATTTGTCTTCTTACTGAGATGTAGGAGTTCTTTATCTATTTTGGATACAAGTCTTTTATCAGTGTATATATTGTGCATATTTTTTCTCAGTTACTGGCTTTTCCATTTTCTTCAGGCTTTTTTAAGAACAAAAGTTTTAAATTTAATAAAATCCAGTTCATCAGGTATTATGGACTAAATTGCGTTCCCCCAAATTCGTATGTTGAAGCCCTAACCCACGATGTGACTATATGGTAGTCCTATCTTATCTGAAGGGGATACATTCCATTTACAAGACTCCCAGTGGATGCCTGAAACTGCGGATAGTACTGAACACCTATATAGACTATGTTTTTTTCTTACACATACTTCTGATAAAGTTTAATTTATAAATTAGGCACAGTAAGAGAGTAACAATAATAAAAAAAATAGAACAATTATAATATACTGTTATAAAAGTTATGTGACCATGGTCTGTCTGTCTCTCTCTCTCTCTGATAACCAATCTGATAACCATGATGGCTATTAAGTGACTAATAGGTGGGCGGTTTACACCACACGGATACACTGGACCAAGGGATGATTCATCTTCTGGGTGGAATGGAGGGAGATGGGGGTCGAGATTTCATCATGCTACTCAGAATGGTGTGCAATTTAAAACTTAGGAATTATTTCTGGAACTTTCCATTTAATATTTTTGGACCACAGTCGACCTCAGGTAAGTGAAACCACAGAAAGCAAAACCGTGGATCAGGGAGAACTACTGTATTTGGAGACAGGGCCTTTAAAGATATAATTAAGATTAAATAAATCTTAATCTTTTTAAGATTAAGGGGCCCTAAAGCAATAAGGGCTGGTATTCTTATAAGAGGAAGGGACATCAGGGATGCTCGCATGTAGAGGAAAGGCCAGATGAGGACACAGAGAGAAGGTGGCCATCTGCAAGCCAACAAGAGAGGCCTCGGGTGAAGGCAAAGTTGCTGACACTCTGATCTTGGACTTCCAGCTTCTGGAACTGTGAGAAACAAATTTCTGTTGTTTAAGGTCTCCCCTTCCCGGGCTGTGATATTTTGTTATGGCAGCCTGAGCAAACTAAGTTAAAAGGACTCAGATTTTGGTACCGTAAGTGGGGTGCTAATGGAACAAATATCTAACAATGTGGAAGTGGTTTTGCAATTGGGTAATGGCATGAACTGCACGTTGGAAAAAGCCAAGGAAGAAGTGAAATATTCATGCAAATATTCATGCCCTTAGCACTCAGCCTGGCATATGATGAGTCCTGAGTACCCGACAGTTCCCTCCTCTTCCTGCTTCCTCCTCCTCACTAGTTCTAGATCAATCCTTCTGAATATCTGCTTTTATCATCTTACCCTCCTACTGAAGAAATTCCAGTGATTCCCATCTATGTGCAAAGATGGTGAATCTGTTTCCATTTTCAGATTCTTCTGCATGAGTAGCGGCTGCCAAGTTGAGAAGGACCGCAGGGCTTTATGCAGGCTCCGTGGGGGAAAAGGGAGATCATCCAGTGATGCCTAACACAGGCTCTGCAGAAGACCCATTTGCCCTCTCTTATCTGCTCACACAACCCAAGCACTGAATCCAGGCCCTCGTAAAATTCCATCGCTGGGCCCTCAGAGTTCCACCTAGCCCTGCTCTGACTTTTCTCAAAGATCTACCCCTACCTCCGGCAGGCCTATCACCTGTGCTCTCCATTCAACATCATTCCCACGTCCAGACCTATATCAAATGCCCTCTTCAAATACCTGCCACATGCCATCTCTTGCGGGGCCTGGAGAACCATGAATGCTGCCCACTCTGAATGCAGCTTTTCCAGAGAAGCCCCTCTCCCACCGACCAGCCTGGAGGCTTCCCTTTACCTTTGATAGGCCACAACGTAGGTCACGTTCTGGAGGTGGCCAGGCCCTGGAAGCCATGTCAGGTAAACGCTGAAGTTCTGGGAGAGCAGCGTCACATTCTGGGGAGGGGCCAGGCAGGACCTCTCTGTCGGGGAGAAATGGGTCATGAAGCCTGGTGCTCCTGGCTCATCTTGACATGGGCCATTCAGAGCTGAATGCGGCATGGTAGGCAGGCATGTGCTCACTGAGTTTGAGGAACCTGGAGTCATTTGGGGTGGCTGAAGCATGGGGGACACAGTGGAGGCTGGGAACCCATGGGTCAGGGTCCCTATGATAGCCATGCCACCAACTGCTGCATTGTAGCCTCATCCCCTTCCTAGGTCTCAGTGGCCCACCTGTGTCTTGAGAGGAAGCCCCTGCTCACTTGACAACTGAAGGTTCCAGTAGACCTGTCCAGTAGACAGAGCAGGAACCATCTAACAGACTCCTGGGTCTCTTGGACAGCCCTGAGGGTCTCCAGGAGCAGGGGCTCTGTATTGTGCTTAGCCATATCCCCAGAGCCGACCTACAATGGTCTCTGGCACATAGTAGATGCGCAATAAGTATCTGTTGAGTGAATGAACAAATTCTGTGATGACTTGGATTATTCCAAAGGCTTCCTAACTGGTCTCCCTGATTCCAACCTTGCCCTCTCCGCACAACAGCAAGAGTTAAAATGGAAGTCAGATCATGTCACTCTTCTGTTTTAAACTCTTTATCGGCTTCCATTTCACTCAAGGTAAAATCCACAGTCTTTACCATCACCCACAAGACCCTGCCCAAGCTGACCTACTATTTTCCCGCTTGCTCCCTTCTCTCAAGCCACACTAGCCTTTTTGCTGTTCCCAAAGCATGCCAGGCAGGCCCCCACCCTCAGGCCTTTTCACAAACTGTTCCATCTGCCTAGACAGTTCTCCCTTGGAAATCCACCTGGCTCACTCCTTCGAGTCCTTCACATCCTGCTCAGATGTCACTATCTCTGTGACGCTTTTCCTGATCACATTTAACTGGCCTCTGCTTTCCCTCTTTGGCTCCTCCTCCTTCTCATTGTTAACTTTTTCTTCTGAAACATGTATGTGATTACACCCCACCCCTCTCCCAGTTTCATGCCCTTCCCTGACCCTCGGAATAAAGTCCACATTCCTTATCAAAGTATGTGAAGCTCTGCCCAGCTTGGTCAAGCTATCTGGTCAACTTCTTCCTTCCAGCCCCCCACCCCCACAGGTTTGACAGGCTGTGCCAATTTTCCTTCTCACCTTTCTCAAACCACTGTATTCTAATCTGTGTGTTTCTGAACGCAGGTGTCTTTGACTGCTATGCATGGTATCTGCATTTTCTCTTTAAATCCTCCCCATATACCTAGGAGGTACGTACTAATTATGATCATCACATTACAGATGAGGAAACTGAGGCCTTCTTAGCTAATAAGTTGCAGAATCAGAATTGAAATCTAGGCTGAGCCATCTCCAAGTCTGAGCTCTTGACCACACAGCCTCCTCTAAGTATTCATAGGGTCAGTTCCAACATCTACGGACCACTATTGGTCAACAACATCTACTGACCACTGCGTGCCAGAGGTTTCAAAGAAGAATATAACTCCATTCCTACACTTTAGGAGCTCATAGTCCCATGGAGAATTCAGTGTCCTGAACTGTCATATGGGCCATGAAAGAAATCTATACATGTTACAGAATGACATTAGGGAGAGAGAGGTCAGTTCTACTGATGGCACTCAGCTGGGCTCCCTACCTCTGGCCTTTTGGACCAAAATATGAATGATTATTTCCACCTTATCCTGTGTCCTTTGAGTTGGAAATGGATCATAGGGGTGCTGGTGCTTTCATTGCTCCCAGTTTCTGGATTTTCTAGCAGGTGATTAGTAGGAGGCCAAAGTCTTTCTGCAAGCTGCTTACAAGGTATCTGCGGGCAGGACAGGCCCAAAGTCTGAGCTTGGCCACAGGAGATTAAGAGCAGCTAGAGTAGCCACCCTCTACTGAGCCTTTAACAGGTGCCAGGCACGGATTTGGCACTTTATATGCAAAACCTTATTTAATCCTCAGGACACACCATCCTATAGAGTAGGTGTCATTCCTCTTCCGTGGAGCACTAGTTTCAGAGACAGATGGTGGATAGTATGCCTAAGGCTACACAGCTAGTTCACGTGGGAACCAGGATTTGAAACTGGAGTTGGTTGCGCTTCAGCCTAAATCATCACAACTGGTTTGTGCTGCATACATTAAAAATTCCTCGGTGAAAGTATAGCTAGGTCTAGACGGGAAAGCTATTGAGTTTAAACACGGGGACAGAGGACTCCCTCCTCTACTCCCTCACATTGTCCCTCGTCAGCTGTAAAAACAGTCACTGCTGTGGAGGCGCCAGGGCCTGGGGCGGCCCTGCACTGACCTAGGTGGACAGCCCTGTGCCACCTATCCGTCCCACAATCAAAGCTGGCCATGCTCGCTTCAGCCTCAGTCTTCTCTGCTCTGTGTCTTGCCTCTGTTTTCCTTCTTGGGCAACTCCCTTAATTGCTCTGAGCCTCAGTCTCCCCACCTGAAAAGGGAGAAAAATAACTATGTTTTAAGATGCTTGGGCTGTGAAGCTTAAATAGGATAATGTGATGCCCAGCATAGAGAAGTTGCTCAATAAAAGTTGCCTTTTAAAATAATCATTAGATTATGTCCTAGGGCCCTTCTAGTTCTTAAACTGTGAATCTAAGACTAGGTAGATATCCTGGGGACAATTTCAGGACCATCTCCCTGGATCGGTTGGGATTTGGTGGTTGGGTCTTTTGTCAAGGTATTTTGTATCCAGTCACCTTATTACCAGTGGGGGCTCAGCAAAAAGGCAGCTGGATAGAATAGCAGCACCGTACAGACTAAACCAGAGCTCCTGTCCCTCAGTCTACGGTGGAGAATCTGGAGGAAGGGGAGGGGGCTGCCGGGGCTGGCAGGGCACTTCAGTCTGACTTTCGTTACTAGCGAGGGTCAAGCGTGGTATTAAAGCAGAAGGCAGTGCTTTATAGGAGACCTTGGAAAAGCACTTCGTAAATAAATGCAACTGCTTTTTAAATTGCCTTCGTCTCTTTTTCCTGTTCCCCTGAAGCAGAACTGGCATAAGGAAACGGGATCACTTTTCTCCTGGAAAGAATTTCAAAGACTCAAGTCTATTCAGTCTTTGGAAGAAAAAAAACTGGTGGTGGGTGGGAAGGGCGATTCGTACTCCGACGGCTGCCGGAGGGCTCGGCCCACGTCTCTCCCTCCTCGGAGCTCCGGGTCCGAGGGTGGGTGCTGTTCGGCCGGGGCTCCCTGCAGCCCCCCGCCCTCCCCACGCCCTTACCTGGAGCGGACTGCAGCAGGTACAGGAGCAGGAGGGCCCAGCGAGCAGCCCCTGTCATGTCGGCCCCTTCGCGGGCTGGCCGGGCGGGGCCGGGTCCCGCCTCCTGACACACCCGCGGGCAGGTGCCGCCACCGGCCGCCAATGGGAGGCCGAGCCGCGGGCCCGCCCTGGGACACTGAGGGGGCGTCCTCCCCGGCTGCCCCCCGGCGGAGAGAGAAACTAAGGAGCCCCGCTCCCGGCGCCACCCCGCTCTTAGCTCCCCAGTGCCTCCACTTAAGTTCGTTCTGCTCAATTTCTGGGGGTGAGGTTGGGGGGATCAGTAAATTTGTATATGGGGCGGGGGGAGTGGGCAGGCAAGGAAACCTGTTCATTATTAATAAACCACAGTTAGGAATTGCACGATGGGACATTGAACAGGGTCAAGAAGTGTTCGGGGCCAGTATAACAACAGAGCTTCAGACACCGCTGGCAGGATTTGAGCGTGTTCTCTGTTCCAGGTACTAAACCAAGCACTTCGCACATTATCTATTTTAATCTCACTCCCCCCGGACTCCGAGCGTCCAGTGGGTCGGTCCGTTGGTCCTGTCATTCTCTGCATTCTTCACACGGAGAGTGGCAGTCTCCAGTGGTTAACAGGCTTCTTCCGGGTAGAGTTGGGGGTGGGGGAGGGAAGCTGATCCCTCCCGACACCAAGGCCTGTGTTACCAGTCACCTGAACAGTAATCGCTTCCAGATAATAGAACCAGCCTCACCGCAGAATGGTCTACTGTCATTAAAAAAAAAGCGTCCTAGACATGTTGCCTAGTGACTCAAGGATGTGTACAATACACTCAGCAAGAAAGCAAGCACTACCAAAATATGGACCCGTTAGAAAAACGTGTCTATAGGCATGAATAACAGATTTTGAGGATGTACGCCAATACGTTCGTGGTCGTTATCTCTGAGTGGTGAAGATACATACAGTTTAAAAAAAAATTAATTAGTTTCAAGTATACAGTACATTGGTTAAACATCTATATAGTTAGTAAAATGATCCCCCAGTTGCTCCCTCCCTCCCCTGACCCTCCACCTAGACAATGTATTAATGCTAATTGCATTCCTTAGGCAGTGCTTCCCATCCCCGTGACCATCCGTCAGCTACTAATTTGTACTTCTTTAACCCTTTGCCCCATTCTCCCAGCCCCCTCAAACCTCCCTCCCCTCTGTCCATCACCAAATTGTCCACTATATTTGTGAGTCTGTTTTTGATTAGTTCTTTTTATTCCTTAAATTCTGCATATAAGTGAAATCATATAGTGTTTATCTTTCTCTGTCTGACTTAAATACCTTCTAGGTTCATCAAAGCAATATCTTTTTCCATTCCCTTCCTTTTCATATGTAGGGGTCTTGTTTTCTTATCCTTTCAGCCACTCTATCCCTTGGTTGGAGCACTTAATTCTTTTCCCTTTAAGGTACTTATTGATAGGAATGTAGTTGTTACCATTCTTTATTCCTGTTTTTGATACATGTTTTTTCTTCTTAAAGAAGTCCCTCTAACATTCCCTGTAATTCTGGCTTAGTTTATTTTTGTCTGGGAAGCTCTTTATCTGTCCTTCAACTCTAAATGATAGCTTTGCTGGATAAATTATTCTTGGTTGTATATCTTGGGTCTTCATTCTATCGAATATTTTTTGCCAAGCCCTTCTGTCCTGTATAGTCTCTCTTGAGAAATCAGCTGCCAGTCATATGGGTGTTCCTTTATATGTAATTATTTGTTTTTCTCTTGCTGCTTTAAAATTTTTTTCTTTGTATTTAAACTTTTGCATTTTAATTAAGATGTGTCTTGGGGGGGGCCTCTTTGAATCCCTAATTTTTGGAATCCTCTGAGCTTCCTGGGGTTTTATGTCCATTTCCTTCACCAGGTTAGGAAAGTTTTCCACCATTATTTCTTCAAATAGCTGTTCAACATCTTGATTTTCTTCACTTATGCTGATCAGATGACTATTTGGAGACTGAATAGTGTTCCATATCCTCCTTAAATCATCTTTATAGTCTTGGCCTCTTTTTTCTTGCCATTCTGATTGAGTGTCCTGATTCCTGTCCTCTAGATAGAGCATGTGATCCTCTTCTTTATTCACTTTGTTTATTCCATTTAATATACTTCTCATCTCAGGTAATGTGTTCTCCATTTCAGACTGGTTCCCTCTTATAATTTCTACTTCCATTTTTATATTTTTTATCTCTTTGTTGGAGTTCTCTACATTTCCCAAAAGTTCATTGAGCATCTTTATAACCAGTGTTTTGAACTCTGCATCTGTTAAAATACTTGACTCCATTATATCTGGATCTCTGTTCTGTTCTGTCACATGGTTTCTGCTTCTTTGTCTTCCATTTTGGCTGTCTTTCCGTGTCTGTTTCTATGTACTAAGCAAAGCTCCTAAGTCTCCCGGTCTTATTAGTGCGGATTTGTGACATAAGTGTCCAGTGGCACAGTCCTGAGGAGTTCAGCTGCAGGCCAAATTTAGCCCAAGCTTCTACCCCTCCGGGGCCCTCTGTCAAGATTCAGCAAGCAATCCACCGATGCTGTGCTTATAGTTGCCTCAAAAGGCCACACCAGAAACCAAGGCCAGCTGCCTTCAGTGTGAATCGGGGCACTGCTCAGCAAGGTGCATCTGACTCGCTGAGGATATACCTGGATGTTGCTTGGATGGGGCCCAGGTTGGGAGAGGCGGGGGTTCAGGGAATCCTCTGGGCGGAGCGACCTCTGTTACCCGGTGTGATGACATCACAGCTATGGTGGCACTGTGTCTGAGCACCGGTAGCGGGGAAGGCTCAACAGGGAACAATTAATACCGCCGGCACTTCTGTAACTAATGAGTGTAGTCTCGACCCTCTCTATTTATCAAAAGATTTATAGGAACCTTGTGACTGGGACCATGGCAACTGAAGTTTCTCGACCAAAAGCAAAGAAGTTTCACCATCCCCCTTGGACTTTTGCTGACATCAAATGTCTGCAGTCATCAGTCACCTCCTGACCTCAAACCCCTCCCGCTTTTTCCCCTTCCCTGGTATAAAAGAAGCTTGAATTCTGTACTTTCTCTAGATCGTTCTTTAGGTTGCTAGTCCACCATCTTCTTGGCTTGCTGGCTTTCTGAATAAAGTCACATTCCTTGCCCCAAATCCGTGTCACTTGACTTATTGGCTGGCTGACGGTGAGCAGTTCAAGCTTTCTCTTGGTTACAACTTCAACCAACCAGCTGCAGCTCTTTGAGACCCAGGGTCCCTCTGAACAGTTCTGCAGTGGGGACAGAAGTGTCTTCATGTGCCACCTGCTTCATCCACTCTGCTTGTGTGATGTTAGTCTGAATCTTTTTGACAAAATCCGCCACATGCTTGTTCTCCCCTGCTCCCTTCCCCTCTATCCCATTATTTCAAGTAAGGAGATTGTGTGTCTGAATGTCTTGGTGCATCAATATAAAAGGACATTTCATGACTACCAACACGGGCAAGCTGTCCCTCTCAAAACTTTTTTAAAAAGTCATCTTGGATGCAGGTCAGAAAATCTCAGCCAGTTACCACAACCTAGACTCTACATAGGTCCTCAGTGTGCTGCTTCAATTTCTTTTTGGTATTTCAAATATTGATAATAGATTCATTCTGTAATAGAATGGGCATATCTCTATTGAGGTCTCATTTTCTAAAACAGCATTAGATAGCATTAATATTTATTGAGTCTTTGTGATGTAACAGGCACTACAGCCTACTTCCCAACAATCCCATGGGATGGGTTAAAAGTTTCACTTTTAACAAGTGAAACTCTGATAGGTCACATCGTTTGCCTAAGGTCACACAGCTAATTAGTGACAGGGCTGGGTTTCAGACCTTGGTCTGGCTGTCCTCAAAATGTGTGGGTTTAAAACGTCTGCTGCTCAGCCTCCAGATGGTTAAGGTCAGACAAAAATAAAATCCCCCAGCCTCTTTCACTTCCTGATATGCAAAGATCACAGCACAAAATTCTCATGAGGGCAAGGTGGGCACTGGAGTGCCAGCCTTCTCTTTGGACTGGATTTTTAGGTGCAAGCAGTGGTGCTGGTAAATGTTTCTCAGGGAGCCTTCTTTAACCCCACTTTGATTTGTTTCCAATCCTCATATAAGTCTCCTTGGTATTACTTAACCACTATTTCATAGAAATAATTTTTGTGCCTTTAACATTTCTCTTTCCTGGATACATTCTCAGGGCCTGGCACATAGTAGGTACTCAATGAAGAGTGAGTAACAGATCTTCCGTGTCTAGGGCTCAGTTGAACACAATCCCAGATGCCTCAAACAATTTAGCCTCACTCCTGGTTCTTAGCTGGCATGTGGTAGCCAGTCACTAAATGTGTACTGAACTGAACTTGTCATGTGACTTATAGTTAAAAGACCTCAGTATCTCTTCTGAAAATATGACTTCACAGTCATGCCTCTCTCCGCAGATGTGATTTTACAGTCATGCCTCTTCCGCTGACCCTGAGAATATTGTGTAAAAACCACATTACCGTATGAAGATTCACAGCCTCTTCCTTGCCTGTCTGGGTCAGCTAAGAGTCCCACAAGGTTGGATCGATGGACGTTGGAAAAGGCAGAATAAGAGGAAAAAGTTAAAAGCCATTTGGGGCTGGGGCATTTGAAGAACAAGAAAAGAGCAAGTTTAGGAGCCAGCTGCCATGAATATGAGATGTATGAAGAGAGAGGTGAAGAAAATGAACTTAAAAATTTTTTGCTCTGTGTTAAGACTGAAATCCCTTTTGGCATTTTTTTTTTTTCTTTCTAAGAGTCTAAAGTAAAAATTTTAAGTGGTTTGAAACTACTGTTGTTTTGACTGTTGTTTTTCTTGTTGTCATTTTAATGTCATTCTGGGAGGAGATAGTCCTCAATATAAGAACAAGAAAACCCACATATCTATCTATATATATACTATAATGGTATTTAGGACTTTATCAGTGGCAAAGATAGAAATCCCAAACTGGCCTAAGCGAAAAATGAATTCTGCAGGCTCGCTAGATTGGGAGATTCAAAGGTAGGTGTGGCTATGAACTG